AACATGGCCTTGTGTTTGTTTGCTTAGCGTTGTTTTGCCCGAGCTACTATGCCATCCCATAGATAACTGTTATACATACAGTACTCAGCAAACGATCAGAAGCAGTTATAAATGGCCAGATGTATTGTAACTAAACTGATATTCTATATATATACATATTATTCATATATATTAATTTATACATTTTGTATATATTGTGTATAGTCGCAAGAGTTATTTCATGAGTTTAATCATCTGTCAATCAACCTCTTAAGTCAGCTTGTATTTATATGTAGTTTCGTTGTAATATGATTATTAATTAAGAGCAAGTGGAATTCCTTGGTAGAAACTTGTTTTATTTTTTCAAGATCAGATCAGACTAGATCATGCAGCACGAGAGAGCCTTTGTTATTTTAGAGTATTATTACTTCTAAAATTGAGTTCTATGTAAAAGCTGTATTATAAATTAGTCATATAATTGGGATTTACACAAAGCTTCACAGTCGACATATAGATGGATAAGATGGATCCACCTTAAATTCCTTCAATTTATCTATAATCTGTTTTTTCTCCTACTTCGTAACTCTCTTTTTAATACCCCATTTCTATTTCAGACATTGCTGTCGGTGCTCCATTTGCGGGCAATGGATCCGTCTTTATATACCTGGGCAGCGAGTCGGGCCTGCGGGATAAGCCCAGTCAGCGCCTGGACTCGCCCCAGCAGCAGCCCTCCAAGTATGGCCAGCACATGTTCGGGCATGGGCTTTCACGGGGCTCGGACATCGATGGGAATGGCTTCAACGACTTTGCCGTGGGTGCGCCGAACACTGAGGCCGTCTTCCTCTATCGCGCCTATCCCGTGGTCAAGATCTTGGCTTCCGTGCGCTCACAGAATCGAGAGATAAAACCAGATCAGAACCGTGTCCAAATCACGGCCTGCTATGGACTCTCGACTACAGCGAAGGGCAGCTCTGCCCAGCAGCAGGAAATCGCCATGAAACTTGTGATAGATGCGCAGCTGAAGCGTGCCACCTTTACGCAGTCGCAGTCCAGTGAGCTGAGCTTCAATGCCACGGCGGGCACCACGCAACAGTGTCGCGTCTTCGACTGCGAGGTGCGCTACAGTGAGAAGGACATATTCCAGCCCATTGAGCTAGAGATGCACTATGAGCTGACGCAGAAGGTGCCAGACTCGGAGGGTAAGTTGATTAAAGCGTGTCATCAGTGGCCTAACACTCACTTCTTCGTCTTCCCTTTCAGTATTCTGTGACACCTGTGTGGCTGTGGATCCAGATGATCCAAAGGTCTACTCGGAGAAAATCATCTTCAGCACGGGCTGTGCCACAGACGTTTGCATAGCCGATCTAAAGCTGACTGCCAAGGACTTTAGGTAAGCCAGAGAACAGTAGAACTTGTAGAACAGTTTGTATAACAGCTTTCTCTATTCCAACAGTCCGAGCTATATTCTGGGCAGTGGCAAAACCCTCCGCATCAACTATGAGGTGACCAACAATGGAGAGACGGCCTATTTGCCACAGCTGAATGTGACGAGCTCGAGTCGCTTGAACTTCGCTCAGATTCCTGGCAACTGCAAGGTCAGTGATGCGGTCATGGTCTGTGATTTGAATCAAGGCAGACCTTTGGGCAAGGGCGACAAGAGTAGCATTACCATTAGCTTCGATGTGAGCAGCCTGACCGGCAAAGCGCTGACCATCAGCGCCGAGGTCTTCAGCACTGGCCACGAGCAGAACCCCAGTGACAATAAGCTGGTTAGTCTGATTGCCCTTAAGGAGTACACGGAAATCGATGCATCGGGGTAAGGCTCAAGCAACTATTCCTTAACTGAACTGAATCTTAACTAATCTTCTCTTTTATCTCCTTCGTAGTGGTCAGACCAATGAGGCCATCAATCTGGAGCACTATAAGAACTCGGCTGTGATTGTCAACAACTATGAGATCAAGAGTAATGGCCCCAGCAATGTGGACGCCCTGGAGCTAGTCTTCCATATTCCAGTTGCCTATAAGCTAGCCACTTCCACCATACCCATTATCAATGTGGGCAACATAACCATGCAGGCTACGTACGACGCGCAGCTGGTCGCCATCGAGCTGCTCGACCCGAACAACACGCAGATTATTATGAATCCCATTGAGATCTCAACGACGCGCACGAGCAAGCACACAGAGCGCGTCGTCGTTAGTCAGAATGGAGCTCAGTACGATATCAGCAGCAGTGGTCACACAGAGCAGAGCTGGCAGGAGTTGGATTCGGATTCAGTGGCCACAGCATCCATGACGCGCAAGCGACGCGACCTGAAGGCCTTGACAGCCAACCGCGAGCAATATGCACGCATTTCGAACGTCAAGGCGCATGAGCTGCTCAGCGAGGACTTCAAAGGCAAGTTGCCAATGAATCGCACCATTGTCTTCAATTGTCGGGATCCGGAGATAACCGTTTGCCTGCGCGCTGTTATGCGTGTCTACAACTTCAAGCCCGAGAAGCCGATCAATTTGAATATGCGCTACAGCGTCGATCTGAATGAGGTGAATGCGATTCTCATCGATCCCTTGGAGTTCTTTGCCATCCTCATCGATTTGACAGTGCGCAAAGAGGGCGATCCCACGGGCAGCTCGCTTTTAATTAGACGCAAAATCGAACCGAATGTCATATCTAAGCATCTGGTAACGAAGTCCCTCATCTGGATAATAATTCTCTCCGTACTAGGCGGCCTGGTGATTCTGGCTGTCTTTACCTATGGCATGTACAAGGTAGAGTAGCTAAAAGAAACCATCTCCAGATGGCATCATATAATAAACTCTTACTCTTACTTTTCGCAGCTTGGCTTCTTTAATCGCACAAAGCATGAGCTCGACAAGCCGGAGCACCAGGGCGCCGTGGAGCCCGAGGAGGAGAACCTTAACAGTGACAATAATTAAGCTCAACATATTGTGATCCATATAGATAAGCTATAGACAAGTACAGCACATCACGATAAAAGCAAAGTAGCATCAATACCAGCTGAACAGTTGGGAAATACCAAAAAGGAAAAGAAAAGTGTTAAGGATAAAAGAACAGGTCTGTTCTAGATCAAGTCATTTATAGAGGAGTGTTGAGGATGGGTATAAATATTTATATATCTATGCATAGATATCGTATCTATATAACTAAAACCTAGTGCAAGTTGTAACCGCGAAGCATTGAATGTTATTGTGGATATTGTTGGAATTTTTGGAAAGTTAGTTATTTATATAGAGCTGAGCTTGAGGCGCCGAAAAGTCAAGCCATATTGCCATTATTTGTAAATATTTATAAAATATTACTAAAGTAAAAAATATAACTGTTTAGTTTTAAGTTTCGATGGCAACGTAAAAGACTTACAAATTTTGTATACAATATAAATTAAAGAAAACAAGAAAAACGAGACCCGAAAGAGAAGCGAAGAAAAATAGTTTTATCGCAATAGTTGATCCTAGTTAAAATATAAGTGAGTAAAGTATTAAATAATTGTTTTGCTTTAAGTTAAACTATTGAGTTCTGAAGCTTAATTTGTTTTTTTACAATACGCTAGAAACTTAAGTTAAATAATTAAATTTATTTTAAATAAAAAACTTTTGTAAAAACTGTCCGAGATATGACTAAAAGAAATCAAAATGTGCTTTAAATATATATTACATATTTGACATAAAAATATGGGACTATTTAAATATAACGACAACTAAAATATCGTAACATTCAGCAATATGTCGTACATACACTGCTTTATCTGCGAAATAAGCAAGCAGTGCACTCTATTCGTATTGCGAAAGCATTGCATACTTTTGGGCGGTGTTATTAATTATGATTTTAAATAGCTGCAGTTCGATTTGATCCGCAGGACGAAAGGACATGCTACATTCGATTTTGCCATTTTTTATTACTCGAAATTTGTGCCTAATAAGTGCTAATTTGGCTTATCTGTGCACAGACGTTCCTGGCCAATTTTAGCTGAAATCAAGAAATTAATCAATTTTGACCGACTGCCCTCTAGGGTATGCAACGAATTTTGGTTTTTGCGTATTTTAGCCGATTTAGTTTTTTTGCTATAACTCGGTCAAATCCTGTCGCAGGATAACAAAATAGATTGCGTTAGGATCGTGGGGACCATCGCCATCGATCCACATCATAATAATATGGGGTCATCTAAGCATCCAGGACTTGTACGTTTCCCATGACATGACGACTGCTGCGGCCAAGCAAACTGCCCAAAACACACAAAATACCTCGTAGCTCGGAAACCACAAGGACAATTTGGATGTCCTCTGACCAGTTGATAGTTATGGTGACCCCAATCAATTTGACAAAGGATTTTCCAGGATACGCCAGGATTAGAGCGAGAAATAGCAGTTTATAGTACAAAAAAGAAATCCTTATAACTCAGATAATTGAAGGATTTTCGTCCTTTTTATTTTTTCTTATTCATTTGCAGACTAAGGACTTTCTATGATATAAACACCATTGCAGTTGTCATTAAAATGGCCAATTTAATGGCGATTTTTGTAATTTTTGACCATTTTTCGACCAATTGCCTTGCAAAAAATGGAGGAAAATTTTTGGTGGAATCCTGGAAATCCTTGAATGCCAATCGATACTTATGACTGTCATGAACTGAAAACGGAATATCCTCTGAAAATCAATAAGAATATGGTGGAGTTATGGCTAGACAAAGAATGTCCTTTTCTTTTAAAATAGCTAAATATTGGCCATTTCTTTAAATATTTTCACAGGACTTGGTGCATTACAATCGTGAGGATCAACACTATCGATCCATATCAAAGTATAAGAAAGCAGGTCTGGTTTGGCTATGATATTATAAGATTTAAATAGAAGGATATCGTTGCTGCTGCGGGTGGCTGTAAATAGAACAAATTGACAAAAATAACCGTGACTATATAGATATATAATTAAATTTAATTCTCTTAAAATCAATAAGTACATTGTTTTCTGTTTTTTCTTTTCTTTTGTAAACTCTAATAAAATGCAATAATTTTTATAAACTAATTATGACAAACGCATTTAACACGAAGCAAAACGTTAACATGTTTTTTTGTTGAAAAAATATCTATATATCTATATATGTATATACAAATTGTTTTCTGGCTACAATTTATGTTTAGCTAAGACATACACACACATGTTCACATACATAAATAAAGTAAAATGGACTAACTAACTATATAATACACAGACACGCACATATATATAAATTGTATGTAGAATTTGCAAGACATAACAGTACAGATATATAGATATATAGGCAATGCATAAGTACAACAAGTTGCTTTAAGTTTTTATATATATCTCTCTATATAGAGTTTTTTGTTTGCTTCTTTGATAAGTTTCGTAGATTGGTTGGTAGTTTGGATATGTGAAATTGCAGGTGACTTTTCATATGTTTATGGAACTACAGCTAAACATACTTTTTAGTTACAATAGTTTGTTTTCTTTTTAGTTAAATAACAGTTAGATCGAGTATATCAACAGATAAAACCAGATATACATATATAATATGCGTTTGAGTTGTATGTGAAATGCATGCATTTTGATTTTCTATTCAAATTCTCACTGCTCTATCGTATTTCGTTTGTACATTTAATTAACAACAATCAAAACTGACAACTGTGTAAATAAATACATTTTATATAAAAATACAGACAATCTGTGTGCTATGTATTGTCAAATCATTGAAATTTGCTTCTGCATTCCATCTGGGCGAATGTGAGTTTAATATCTGTATATATATATATATATATATATATATATATATATATATGTTTGATATGCGATCTATCTATCAGATATACATATATATAATATGTATTACTCTTTAAATTTTTGATGGTTGACTAGCAACGCTTATTGAGCACAAGGTGGATTCAATTACTAACAGATATATAGATTTAGATACTTTTAAATACACAGATACAGATGCTTTGCTTATAGATAGATGGATACATAGATATATATATATATATACAGTTAGTTAACACATTTTCTCATTATATGCCGAATCCTTGTTGGGACTTTTCAATCTACTTCAGGACTTAATCACTAACAGATTCAGTTGCTCTAACAGACAGATACAGATACTTTTGCTCTATAGCAGCTTATAGACAGATATAGGGTATATCTATATATACAGTTAGTTAACACATGGTTTCGTTATATGGCGGATCCTTTTCTGACTCTGTGCTGCTCTTGATGTTGGAGGAGAGCTTTGCTATCTCATCCTGCACCAGATGCGTGCTGATCTGCGGTATGGCCAGATTTGTGCTGCTGCTCTTGGCCGACGAGGAGGTCGTTGCCGAGATGGGCTCGCCGTCCCGCGACTCTTCGGTGCTGGAGCTACTCTCCTTGAGCACATTCATGCCCAGCTTGCTTGTATAGGGTGGCTTCAGCGTTGAAATCAGTTTGGCAGCAACCGGAGCACCTGCAGCACCTGCCGCGGCACCTGCAGCAGCGCCAGCGGCAGCCGCAGCCTCTGTGCTGCTCGCCTCGGCGTTTGTTTGCGCAGACAGCGGCTTGCCCTGGTCCATACTAAACTGTTTCTTCAACTGCATGGGACGCGTTGGCAATGCTGGCGCTGGCTGCGTCAGATCTAGCGAACTGGAACTGTCGTCCCTTAGACGTCTGCCATCGGCAGCGCCCACGGACGCCGTCCGCTTGGGTTGATAACGCGCCTGCGCAGCGCCGCCAGCAGCGCCAACGCTCACGCTAATGCCCGTTGCCGAATGCGAGTCGCCGGCATCCAAACTGGGCTCCGCCGTCAGCGATGGCGTGTCCACGTTGTAGGAGCCGGTCAAGGAGGTGTTCGTCTCATTGGAGCTCTGCTTGATGAAGCGGTACGGATGCGCCGAGTAGTCCGTGTCCGTGCTCGAATTCTTCTGCAGACTCTCGCTGGACTTCTTGAACAGCCGCCCGCTGCTGTCGTAGGGTGGATTGAGGAAATCGCTGGTGGCTCGCGTCGGCACCAGCGGCGACTGATAGCTCTGCTGTTCCATGGACGAATTGCGCTGCCAGGGCCGTTCGTGCTTCAGCTGAAAGCCGCTGCTCGCCGCACCACTCGTATCACTGCTGTCGCCAGCAATGACGGCGCCAATGGCACCGCCCTCCGCCGCTGGCTTCGAGGGCGACAGCTCAATGGCCGTCTCCCTGCGCAGCGGGTAGCGATGACTATAGTCCACAGAGACGCCAATCTGAGAGAGAGAGAGAGAGAGAGAGCAGAATTTGAGTGTGTATAAAAGGAGAGGGTGAATCAGGGAGAACCTACCTCATAGGAGGGCACGCTGGCATCGATGGAGCCACGTGCCTCAAAGAGGCCCTCCAATATCCTGTAATCATTCTCCTCGCACTCCTTCAAGTGTTGCTTCTCCTGCAACGCAGCTGCCTCTGCGCGTGACATCTCCGTCTTGGGCCGATCCAAGGAAGCTGTGAAACATACAAAGATTCAATGAGAAAAGATTCCAACTGGAAGCTGAGGCAGGTGCAGGCGCAGGCGCAGTCGCAGGCTTAGGTATTGCGTGGGATTTCTTTTCTTTTTATTTATTTTGATATTTTTTGTGGGGTTTTTGGCTGGCAAGCACAAGGCAAATGAATATTACGCATACGCCCGGTTAGCAAGTAAACATATTACACAATTTTGTAGGTTCGAGGTGCTTTTGTTTTTCATTTTCAATTTTCTTTTAGTGTGGGCCAATCGGATAGGGGATTTTGGATGGAGATCGGAAGTCGGAGTTTGGTGATCGGAGATCGGAGATCGGAGCAATGCCAACTTACCTTTGTTGCTCTGCAGCGAGACGGTCGGTGAGGCAATCAAATGGCAAACGCTCTCCAGCTCGTCCGTTATGGATGTATATTCACTGTGCAGTTTCAGCAATATATTTCTGGAGGGTTTCGCATGCAATACTGATTTACCTAGAGTTCGAGGTTAGGTTTTTTTTGTTGAGAATGCGTCAGAGATCAATTTACGTGTGTGTGTGTGTGTGTGTGTGTTGGTGTTTATGTACGCGTATGTATGGGTGTGTATCGAGAGAAAACCAGAGAGATAGAGAGAGAGAGAGAGAATGAGAGTGAGGTGTGGGTACAGTGAAAACTCTGCTAACGAACATAGACCAAGACTACCTCTGCATTTATTAACAGAAAACGTATAGCGATTGTACAGTATAGCCTCCCTTTACTAGAAACGAATAAATGTTTAACGTAGTTTGATTTCATTATAAATAATATTCGGAAATTTTATTTATCAGACATAGACCGATGTTTCACATATATATTTATATATCTATATATCCTATATTCCTTGCTTTCTGTACAAACTATTCAATCTACATATACATATGTATATACACATATATTTGACTCCTCCTCTAAATCCTAATTATTTCTTCTACTCCTCAACTCTCTTTACAATCATCTTTATCAACCCTCCAGCCGACTTTCATTGTTCGCTACGTAGAGCTTTCACTGTACATGATTCACAACATCAACACGACAACAACATCAACAACAACTACAACAACAACAAGATTATATGCTCTTTGGGTTAACTTCTAAATGTTGGCCAATTTAGGTAGCTCGGATTGGTCAAAGTTAATGTTTTAGTGTGGATTAGAAGTCGTCCTCATGAATTTGGTTTAGTTAAAGGCGTCAAATTTTGGAGCGCGCGCATTGTTTGCATCTAACGCTTATTGTCTAAATCGTTTACATTAGAGACACATCAAGCACTGTCTGCACATACCCGTCTGTGGCACTGGAGGCATATCCTTGTCGCTGTCCGGCTCGGAGTGCGTGAGGCTCATCTGGCGACGCGAGAGCGTGGTCAGCTGATTGAGGCTGATGTGCGAGCGATTGATGTCAGCGCCAGCTAGGGAATACGTTTCCGAATTGCGGCGGCAGAGCGAGACAGTGCGCTGGCGCAGAGCTCGATGTCTGGCAGCTGAGGGAGGACAACGGAAAGTGTTAGATCAATAGATAAAAGGAGATACAAGACTTAAGCAAAACGGAAATAAAGAGAAAGAGGTACTTGCAAACGAAAACGCATACAGAAGTAGTGAAAAAGTAACGTAAGATGGAAGCAAAAACGGGCGGAAGCCAGAGAGCATTACGGCTTCATGGCCGACTCGCATTACCCTCAAATGTCATGTCCGGCGCAGCATCGTCGGAGTTGTCGCCACCGACGAGGGTCTGATCGTCATCGTTGTTGCCCATGGGCGTGAGTGTGTCCTTGCTCTCGGTGCTGGCGCCCGTGTCCTGGCGCACGGTCACATAGGGCGTCCGCTTGACCGTGTCACAGGTGGATGGCCGTTGCGATAGGGGTAAATAGATATCGGAGTCAGCCTCCGATTGCATGGAGGCCTTGCGCACCATCTGCTCGTTGAGGGCCTCCCGGGACTTGACCACCTCGTCGGGCTCCTCGGGCAGCGGCACCACCTCAAAGTGTGTGCCCTCATCCAAGATGTACGCGTCCGGCCGCACTTCGGTCAGCGAGCGATTGAAGCGACGTCGATTGTTCACCTGCTCAGGTAAACAGCACAGAGAAAAAAAAAAAAACAACAATTGGCAACAGGTTTAAGGTGAAAGACAGGCATTCAGCTGAGACGCACCTGCAGTGAATTTAAAGTGAGTGCGGCACCCAGGCCCAGCGACGCGGCAATTCCAGCAGAGCCTCCGACTCCGATTCCGCCTCCCCCACCTCCACCTCCGCCACTTCCGCCGCCGCCGCCACCAGCTCCGCCGCTGCCCTCGTTGTCGGACATTGAGATGGTGCGCATGCGATGCATCTCGCCTGGAATGTTCATCACGGAGCCGCGAAGCAGCTCCTCGTTGCCGGTGGTATGTGCGGACATGAAGCGATGTATGACGCCCAGGTGCGACAATATCTGCTCCGATGATTCCTCCATTTTGCGCAAACGGAATTCAATGTTCTGCAAACAAACACACGAACACGCGCACACAATATGAACGACAATGTAACAATTGCAATAAAAGCGAGAGCTCAAAACGAAGAACAACTTGATGCCATATGTCCTGGCTGTCGAAGCGGCATACAAATGAACAGGCAGTGCCACCTGGGAGAGGGCTGCCTCAAGAGTTGAGCTAACAACTAGTTGAAATTGGATATTGATGCGAGTCCATTGGGTTCAAGAGGATTACTTACGGGTAAAGATATGCAATGATACGGAACTAGTTCAATTGAACTGGCTCTTTAAATGCTTTTTGTAATCAGTTTTGAATAATGCTCAAATTTTGTATCTAAAGAGAACTATTTATAATATCATGTTTGTTCTGCTTGGAGCAATATAGTTCCCCAAATATTACTACTGATATTTGATTAATTGAACTAGTTCTTAAGATTAACTATTAACTTCTTTTTAAAACTCTTGGCTCTGCTCCTCAATTGAGTATCAAGTTCAGTTGAACGAGTTCATATAATAAACTATATTGGTTCCTTTACAGTATATATATATATATTTACTGGACTGTAGCAAAGGTCAAATGCAGCTGAGGAAAGCTCGACAAACCTAGCATATTTTGTCGTAAAATATGGACATACTCAACAGACTGGCAATATATGTACATAGAGGTAACCCTCGTACCGCTGCACATTCATTGACATTTTCAATTTAAGCGTTGTGGCTGAACCAGCTACAGCTACCACAGTTCCCTCGTCTATCTCTCGGCAGCTTCGACTTGGCTGTCAATGCGCGTTAAACCCAAATCAATGTGCAAAAAAACAGAGAAAATTGTGAATTTGCATAACAAAAAACTAAAAAGTGGGCTTAACACTGAGTAAATGTGTGTTAGTAAATGTGTGTGAGTGTGTGTGTGTACTACACACCTGTACTGTAGCCGTTTGTATGTTCTCCTTTTGATTGATGTCCTCGATTTTCTGTGCCATGGTCTCGACGCGCTCCGTTGTGTTCTTGACGCGCTCATCGGTCGACTGATTCAATATGATTTCCTGCTCGTGGAAGAAGCCCTCGACACACTCCTCCTCGAAGTCGTACAGTCGCTCCAGATCGTCCTTTTCGAGGAACAGCTTGAGACCATTGTCCCGCTGCACCTCCAATCCTATTGACGGCCACAAAACAAACATAATACAATTCAATTATTTCATTGGACCAAGCAGAGTAATCATCATAAGCATTTCAATTATACAGAAGTCGATTATAAAAGCATATACATATATCATATATACAATAGAGCAGTTGTAGTAGACGAACACACAGCAATGCGGCAGGCAGCAGGGTAAAAAAAGTATAGAGATTTGTACATTATTCTCATTCGATTGGGACACGCTCCGATTGTTTTGCACTCACAGGGAATAAAGCTAAACTTGCTCATGCCGGGCTCACCTTTCGCTTTGCGCACGCAGTACTTGAGCAGCGAATAGAAATGGCAGAAGGCGATGAAAGGCGGCGGCAGCACCGGCTTCTGTTGGTACTCCATGACCACTGTGAATCTCTGGAACATCCATACCTGAGGGGGCAAAGAGAATACGAGAGAGAGAGAGAGAGAGAGTTAGAACATTTATAGTAAAAACTTGTTTCAGGCTATTTTCATTATTTCAAGTTGAAGTTGATGATTTAACAGCTTCACAATGAGATAGCCAACTAAGTGGCAAGACTTGTAGCTATTTTATCCTCCATTTTAAATATTTAATCACATGGCGCTTGCTTAAAGTAAATAAGGCTAGCTTTACAGTTTAGCAACGAGATATGCAACTGGGTGGCAACGCTCGTAGCTGGTAAAACGTAGAATTAAATAAAATCGATTTGAAAGTTTCACTTTTTTGTCTTCCATCTTTAAGTTCTTAATCATGTTGCCATTGCATACAGACAAGCAGCGCTGGCTTAACGGCTCACCAGTTTTACAACAACTAGAAGTGCAAGTAGGTGGCAACGCTTGCAGTTGACAATACGTAAAATATAACAGAAGATTCCTTTACTTTAAGTCAGTCGGATTTTGATTGCTCAACGTCAACTTAAGCTGCTTAGAGGAGTTGGCTTAGCAGCTAAACAAAAGGACTTACAACTAGGTGGCAGCGCTTACTTATATCTTCTAACTGAACTTTAAGCTATACTTGAATGGTATCAAGAAATTAAATTAAGCAAAGTAGCTTACTAAACAATTTAATCGAGCTAACTAATCTGCCGCCAACAGCACTTTTCACAACTAGGTGGCAACATCTGCTATTGTAAATGAATTTAATGAACTGAGGCAGATCAAAACCAAATCGAATCGGTATGTACCCAAATAAGCACATTGTCTTCAGTCACTTAATTGCTACAATTGATCTGATGGAACTAGGTGACAACTTTAGCAGGCAATGTAGTGCAGCTCATACTGCAATAATTCAGCATCCCTATTGAGCTTTAGGCACTGAAATACTGAGCAAACTAACTGTAAGCAAATGAAGTCTGTTTGTCTTATTAAAAGCTAGCTTAAGTGTCTGACAACAAACTATTTTGCCACTAGGTGGCAAGGCATGCATAACTAATGTTTGTCTTTGAAAATAGTTGCCAAGCAGCCCTAAGGTTAAAAACCAACCTACTTAGAGGCAGCGTATGCGACAGTTTGTCTAAATAGTTGTAAACTATTTTAACATTGTTTGGTAAATGAGCTGAGCTTAAAGTCTGATTAGTTTAAATCAGAGCATAAGCTCAGCTAAGTGCTTAGTCATGCTGACAGCTCGAATTATAGATTGATGGACACGTTGCAATCTAGTTGTAAATAATGAGTTATGTATATAATTAATGATGCTAGATTTACCGCTGTATATAAATTAATTTGCAACTAGGTGGCAACGCTTTAAAGCATTAAAAATTCTTAATTAGGACAAGTTCTGCTTTCAGTAAAAATTAAGATTGAAAAAGTATATTAAAACAAGTAAGAACGTTGCAGTCGGGCGTTACCGACTACGGAATACTCATTCACATCCCATCAACAATTTAGTTGTTAAGTTTCGCTCTAATACTGTAGAATATACAGTTTTTTCCAAATTGCACGCCTCAACTGGGAGTAGACACATCATTTTTGGCCAGTTTTTAGAACGAGATAACGGTACCCTAACTGCAAAGTTTGAATGCTTACCCTCAAAAAATGTGAAAATTACAGGGTATTTTTCGCTATGCCACGCCCTTAAAGAGGCGTAAAAATTATTTTTAGGGAATCGATAGAGGAGGCTACCAGTAACTCAACTATCCAAATTTGAAGCTTCTAGCTATTATACTTTAGGAGATATAAACTTTTGCGGTTTGCCACGCCCCCTGTGGGCGGACATATATCCGACAAAACTTTTTGGTCTTGGGTGATCAGTCCGAGTATATATACAAAATTTGAGGTCTCTGCCATCAATAGTGTCCAAAATATAGGAGAATTTAAAAAATCACTATATCTTCAGGTCCGATTTGCCACGCCCCCAATGGGCGTAGACTAATAATTTATCTTTAAACTTTATAGAATCATACCATTAGCTGACGTGCAAAATTTCAGCATTCTAGGTTTTCAACTTTAGGAGATACAGTTTTATCCGATTTGCCACGCCCCCAATGGGCGTAGATATATCCGACATAGCTCGTGATCTTGGGTGGTCAACGCGGACCTACATACCAAATTTCAGCTTTCTAGCTCTTCAACAAACATGATTTCTGGTATATCGGAAAATGCATTTTCCGATTTGCCACGCCCCTAGTGGGCGGATCGGGAAAATTTTAACACTTTATAAATCGGAGATATACACGAGTATGTGTTCCAAATTTCAAGTCTCTAGCTTCAATAGCGCCGAAATAGATTGCGTTCATACGGACAGACGGACAGACGGACAGACGGACGGACGGACATTGCACAAAACCAATATACTGATTCACTTTCGTGAATGAGTATAAATATTTAATAAAATAAAATATTATACAAAACTTAGTACAAATCTATTAAATTTAATTACGCGTTTAATTTATTAAAAATTACTTTTAAATTAAAATAGTCATTTTAGTAATGCACTCACCTGATGTGAAACCGAATTGACTTCGTTGAATATATTATTGAAGACGGCTATGAGCAGATTGATTAGCAATATATTGGCAATCAATAGATACATGGACATGGTTATAGGCGTTACCCAATGACCTGTAAATAACATCAAGTATTAGAATAAACTAAATCTATATATACCTGTATAGCTAGGTGCTAAACCTACCTGTCACGCAGGCGGGCTGACGCGGATCCTCGCCGCAGGGCGGATCAATGTCATCGGCAAAGACCTCGCCGTACAACATGAAGTACGGCTGATAGGTGACCTGTGCAGCGTTAAATTAAAAACGAGAAGAAAAGAGAATAGAAGAAGAAGAAGAAGAAGAGGGAAACAGAGGGGTTTATCATTAAAAGCCAGTTACACAAAAAAAAAAAAAAAAAAAAAAAAAAATGACCAAGCTTAATTCAATTTGGGAGACGAGCCGACAGCACGTTCCCGACTGGGTCAACATTTATGCAAGTTTTACACATCAACACAGACAGTTGCTATAATATATATATATATGTAGGTGTATCTGTGTGTGTGTTGGATGTTTGTGAATGTGTTGGATGTGTGTGTGTGTGTTGACTGTGCATTTCGCCTTTAGTTTTAACAGCATGCTACTGTAGTTGGGTCTCTGTTCATTAAAGGCACTGCCACCATTTCATTAGCATTTGCCGGGTTAATGGCTATGCGATTAAACAGAGGCACAAGGTGTGTGTGTCCTGGTGGTGGTATGGAGGGGAGGCGGGGGAAGGGAAAGGGATGCATCTCCCTTGGTGTCTGAGCATTTTGTGATAGATTTTGAATAATTAAACGTGGACAGTTTGCTGTTTTTACATTATTGCTCCCAGCAGCAGCAGTTGATGACTTTCAATTTCAATTTTATGGCTTTCGATATATTTGACTCCAGCAGAGGCTCGAATTCTCATTAAAAGGTGGCATCAGTTCGAGAGAAGAGATATTTCGTTACCAAAATTGTATTTAAGCTTTGAGCAAAGTATTCAAATTGAACTATCTACAGATATAGGTTATAGGCATAGATTGTATCTGTATCTGAGTATCTATTTCTGTGTATCTGTCTATATCTGTATCTGTTTCTGTATCTGTATCTGTATCTGTATCTGTATCTGTATCTGTATCTGTATCTGTATCTGTATCTGTATCTGTATCTGTATCTGTATCTGTATCTGTATCTGTATCTGTATCTGTATCTGTATCTGTATCTGTATCTGTATCTGTATCTGTATCTGTATCTGTATCTGTATCTGTATCTGTATCTGTATCTGTATCTGTATCTGTATCTGTATCTGTATCTGTATCTGCATCTGTATCTGTATCTCTATCTCTATCTCTATCTCTATCTCTATCTCTATCTCTATCTCTATCTCTATCTCTATCTCTATCTCTATCTCTATCTCTATCTCTATCTCTATCTCTATCTCTATCTCTATCTCTATCTCTATCTCTATCTCTATCTCTATCTCTATCTCTATCTCTATCTCTATCTCTATCTCTATCTCTATCTCTATCTCTATCTCTATCTCTATCTGTATCTGTACCTGTATCAGTATCTTTTAGCATTTCCCCTCATTATTCTGCACTTCGTACATTTGCTAGCTAACGGCTATGCTATAAAAGGCGTCAAAAAGATGCCAGGACATGATGTAAACATAATACACTTTGACTCTGTTAAACATTTGCATATTGCATGCAAATTGCTGCGAAAAGTGTTTACAGTGTATCAAAAAAGTATAACTACAGCAATGCTGCAACCTCGACTGCTTGACTGGATGGATTTTCCGAGATTTAGCAGCAAACAATGCAGCAGCTATGCTGCAGGAGGGACGAGGGAGGAGTACGGGGACTGTTGCTTGTTTGTGTGAATAATAGCCGTTTGACATTTTTCAGACAGCGCAGGCAATGCGCATGCAATAGAAATGAAACATGCCAAAATATTAATAAATATTTCAAAAATGGAATTCATAATAAATGGCAAAGAAATTTTTAGCAAACTTGAAACTGAGTACACACATTTACTTCTCAGATGCAAATACTTAAATATCTTTATGTTGTATTCTTAACATGCATGGCGTATACGTAATATAATTAAAATGAGCATATGATATAAAATAAAAGATAAGAACGAAGTAGTCGACGAGCAGGAAACAAAAGAAGAGTCGAGGGGCAACGAACCAACGCGGGGAGAGAGAGAGAGAGAAATAGGGACAGACAGAGAGAGAGAGTTAGACAGATCATTGGGAATATCTATTTTGCGGGGTTTATTTGAAACAACATCGATATAAAATTTTCTTTGATATTATATAATGAAATATAAGCAAGTAAATTGATAAGAAACCAATTAGACAAAAAGTATCTTTTGCACAATAAAAAACAAACGAAAATCTTTATGTTTTCTTTTTTGAGGCACACAACAACAACTAGATAGACAGCTTGCCAATATATGTATATCATATATTAATATATATCACACAGGGACGCCAGCTAGGCTCAATTGCTAAACACTTTTTTGTTTTTGTTTTTGTTTTTCACTATATAGCAAACCAATTGTAGATACATTTGTGTGATTTCCGTTTAAGAAACTTGGCAGCTCGTGACTTGTTTCGCTTGTTTCAGTTTCAGTTTCTGTTGTGGGGGGCGTCACAGAGGGCGGCATCGTTGTTGTGCTTGTTGTTGTTGTTGTTGTTGTGCTGGCTGCTGCTGCTGCCGCCGCTGCCGCTGCCGCTGCTGCTGCTGCTGCATGACTGCGATGTTGCGCAGCTGCAAATGTACTAGGTCCAAAGCCAGCTATGCGTGTGTTATGTGAACGACTATTATGGCCGAGAGCGCCTTGAAATCCGGGCGCGAAGATTGAACCAGCAATAACCTGGCCAATTCATCGCGTATATATATATATTTATACATATATATGTATGTGTGTATAACAAAATCAAAATGCGTAAAGTGAGGTATGCGTGTGTGTGAGAGAGAGAATAGAGCATGGAATGTCAACAAAGTGAAAGAGTGGAGAGTGAGAGGTGAATAGTGAGGAGTGAACAGTTGAAAGGGAGCATGAGGACGAAAGTATGAAGAAATACAATAATACAAGACACAATGAAGAAAAAGAGCAGTTAGTCAATCGAATATCGATTAGCGAAGTATCGATTAGCGAGCAGCGAGCATCGCCCTCTCGCATGATAACTACTTAGTCAAAACAGTCAACCAAACAACTCGCTGTGAAGCTCTACTTAAGTACGAATATTGTTTTTAATAGCTACAATTAATTGAGTTTGAAAAAAATGTTCGACTATTACTGTTACTGTTATTATTAATGTTATCATAAATATTTGTATTGTTTTTTTTTTTTTTTTTTAATAGATTTAAGTAAATGCATGTACTCCGTTTCTCTCAATAAATACACAATTCACAAGCGCTGCAATTTGAAAAAATTGTCAGTGTACATTGAGCATATTTATAAAAATGTATTCTCTCTATATACGTACATGAATGTTAACATTTGATCAAAACACACACAGGCATACACACACACACACACACACACAGACAGAAATACAGTCAGTCACACAGACTGACACGATTAATTAGCATGAGCTTTAATTTGCTTTTATAATTCAGCTAAAGAATTATTATTTACACGACTGTCAAATTTTTTGTATAAATTTTGTAATCAACGTAAGAGTAAAGAGCTCTTCGGTTAACCGAAATATTTAATACCCTTGCAGAATAGAAATCTATATGTGTTTATCCTAAGTTACACCAAGATTTATAAATTTTTCTTGTAGATTTCAGATTTATATAAAATTTTAGCTCTTTCTTCAAAGACTTGCCTACATTTTGCAAGGATATTTATATTGATATACTTAAATAACTGTTGGTTTCTTTATATAACAACATTCAATAAGTCAGACACGCACACACACACACACACACTGAAACACTCATCTTTTTATATCTATATACACCCCAGATTTAGTAATTCTCATTGCTTACCTCTCGAATCAGCCTCCAAGTGGGCTCATTGTTCGGATAGAGTATTGCCTGCCGGCTGACGCCAAAGCTCATGAGGACCACGGCCAAGAGCACAACGAAATATATCATATTCTTAACCATTTTGCCCATCATAGTGACCAGAGGACCTTTAAGTAAGAAAACGACCATAGAATCCATAAATATATAAATGTGTATATGCGTATCTCCATAGAGCTGATTACCTACCCAAATACTTGTTGACGCCAAGAATGTTCAATATGCGCAAATACCAGTAGATGCTGTCCACGCAGTAAATGACACGCCCAATGTCCATCGTATTGGGGCGAAAGCGAAAAGCCAGTCCGATGAGGAAGAGTATTATGGCAGCGCCATCGCACGGATTCCACATGTTCCACGCCCACACCGAGAATTTATGCCTGCAACAACAACAGCAACAACAACAACAATGAGGCAAATGAAGCCAGGCCGCAACAGAATCGCATTAATGAAGGGCGCCACAGAAATCGAAAGCCGTAAATCAAGTGTGAATAAACTCTGAAGGCAATCGCACACACACGCACCGGATATAGATAGAAAGAAGAAGCAGAAGACGATGGCAAGTAATCAAAATGCACAGAGGCATAAAGTATGCGCAGCTCTCATTTATAATCATTAAATTAAATGCAATTAAACACACTCAAGCACACAAACACACACACATACACACACATTGGCATAAATTCAATTTGCGAATTACTTTACTTACGTAATGGCCACCGGCTCGGAGGAAACGATTTCGCGCACCTTCTCAAATCCCAATGTCGTTATATAAGCTATCGAATACCATTCCTGCCAGCGCGGTATGGGGCCCATTTTGACTAGCACCGTGAACGAGAACATTATCAGAAAGAACATGTACGCAATCTGCAAATATGGCCAGAAACATATTTAATTACATTAAAAAAATAAAAGCAACTTGAAGTGCAGAAGTGCATTCTATGTTCGACTTAGGTATACCCTGTAGCACTATTCGATTTTATGTTTTATCTGTGTTATGTCTAAATAGATTTCTATGATAAGATAAGCTGTCACAGTCAATCAATCAAAATAAACTTCCAGCTTGGCCTAAAGATAACTGTTAAAAATATATCTCTAATTTCGTGTTTTATTTATGAATAACTATTTACTCCACGTCGAAGTGATGTCATTAGATGTTATATAAATGTTATATTTATATAACATATCTTTAGTTTACCTCTCCCTAATCATTTAAAGTATTTTGTGATGAGTATTAAAGATTGATAACAACTTGAACTTAGTTTTAAATTATCAATTATCATAATTGCATTACTTATCTAAAGTATGTCAGATGATATTTGATTCTTATGCTCCAATTGCTTGCGGTGTAAACTGAGATAAGAATAATAGTATATGCAATGAAACATATATCGCTTTCGCTCACTCATCAGAGCATCGTTAGAAAGAATAGATTTCACTCATGAATCAAAATTGATAGATCTCTTCAACTTTCAATTGAATCTAACTCTACTCTACTTTCTGTTAAATCTCTATACAAACTAAAGTTCAACCTAATCTATGCTGGCAGTCAGACAGTCTTACCTGTTCAGACCTGAAGTACCCTCGAATGTTTTCTAAATTTATCCAGTATCTAACACAAAATCTGACCTTAACTAACAAACGTCTAGACGCCATTTCTAAAACACATCCCACTAACATCTCACTAGTCCTAACACCTCCACTAATTCATTTGCTCGCCTTTATCTACCCCAATCTGAGAAACTTTTACAGCGTATGAAATAAATAGGAAAAACCTTTTGCACTCACTCACATAAGTCAGCGTACGCGCTGTCAAATGTGCGCGCTGTAGCGGAAATTAAACACAAGCTACTAATTTCCGTTGGCTAATAACTAAATAAGCTTAGCGCTCCCAAATACTCACCGAATCGGCCCAGAATTTTGTAATGGGCGCTGTGTAGAACTCGTAAAACTTCTTCTTCAGGCGCAGCGGTTGATGCTGTTTAATCTCGTTGGTGAACTCGGACAGGTGAAAGAATTCGCGGAATTGCGATGGATCCGAGTCTGTTAGTGAGACCTGTCGGCAGCGGAAGAAAAAATACTTTTAGCTTCGCGTCTCGCAGTCTGTGTGAGGCGAGTGCAGCGAGTGAAAATGCATGTGAAATTAGTTTGAAATTGAGTTGAATTCAATTATCAACATTAGCCAGAACGGAAAGAGGCATTCAAAGTGCGTGAGTATATATGTATATCTATATATCGAGTATATATCGCTAAGAAAAATATCTATATAGATAGTATGTGTATATGTACATGTGCACACGGCGTAAAAATTGCGCATACGCAGAGTTGGTCTGGCAGGCGAAAACTAACCTACATAGCAGCATATCTATATTTATATATGTATTTATATATATATATATATTAACTACTACTAAGTGAGTTAATTAATTGAAATTTTGCGTGATGGCCAGGCGTGTTTTTGATCTCTAATTTATTTACTCGCCAATTAGGTAGAGGTAAGCACATGCACTAAAGCGTCAAAGTCAAAAAAGTACTAAAGCAAATCGAAAGCCAACTGAGAACTGATTCGATTCGATGGATCAGAGAAAATAAATAGTAAAGAATAAATAAGTATTAAGTTGAAACTACTTGGTTAGGCTATGGGTTAGGGTATTCAACACTAACTTTGGAGGGTGGTTCTTCCGCTCCAGCAGTGAGATTAACCTGTAAAATTCGAACGAGTACTTAACGAAATGGTACTTGTGGAAAAGTACGCGGTGTGAGGAGTTTAACGTGTTTAATATTTCTCTTTTTCTTTTTTTTTGGGTAAAAAAAATATTAAAAAAATGTTTGTTTTATTTCAAATTAATTAGATGAATTAGTTAGTTTTTTAATGGCACTTGCTTGGCTAAAAAGGAACATAAAAATCAAGGGTTTTTTTTTTGTTGTTTTTGGACGGTCTACGGGACGTATGCGTTATATGCCGCATGTCATACAATGTGTTCTATTATTATAAACGAATATGTTTGATATGATTATATAATTCTTATAGTATGCCGTCTTAAGTATACTCAATTATGTGCTAGACGTACACTTAAAAAAAAAGTATTATTGAATTGTCTTCGTTGTATATGAAAATTGATATATATATATATTTATTTTTGATTGGAGCGCATTCAATTAAAAACTTTCACAAATGTAAATGAATGAATAACTGAGAGTGTCTGTGTATTGATCTGTGTCTGTGTGTATCTGTATTGTATTCGTGGGTAACTGTGAATTTACTCACTTTGCCATTTTCGTGTACTTTTGTATCGCGCACCGAATAAGTATCCGCCAATAGAGCCTGCAACGGGTTGAAGGGGAAAGGGGATCGCACGTTTCCATATATGTATATATATATATATTTTTATACAGATATACGTATATGCATATATATACATACATATACATATATGTATATAGTTAAAAAACAAAAAGTAAGAACAATTTACGATTTTTGTTTACATCATCTAATTGAAATCTAATAAAGCTACAAATACAACTTTATGATGATATGAATACTTCAAATGACAACAAATTGTAGATACGTGGAAGGAGTGGGAGTGTGTGTGTGAAAGAGATAGGCACAGGAAAAATCATATAGAAAAGAAATTCAAACTTAATAAAAAAAAGTTTTTGTTACATGCCACATCGGTGTTTGTTTTTGTGCAGGTGTTCAACTATAATAATGGTAAACAGCGCTCGGGAGTTGGGGGTGGGGGTGGTGGGCCAGGTTGGAATTTTAATCAATGGCAACAACCGCTTGTCATTTATCCTAACAACTTTATAGCTGTGCGCAGAGGTTCAATGGATTTTAATTTAATTTTCTGATTAAAGGATTTTCAACTGCGCTTCTATACAAACGACCATATGTGTATAAGTGTATGTGTCAGTGTGTGTGTGTGTGTGTGTCAGCCTGCATGTGTGTGTGTATAAGTGAAAAACAATATTTGAACAACTGCAGAGTTTGCTCTTGAGAGCTGCGAGCACAACAAACAGCTTCATATATCTATAACTAGCTAAAGAGAGACAGAGACACATAGAGAATGAGAGAGAAAGTTAGAGGGAGAGGGAAAGCTGGCTTTCACATTGCATTGCTAATAGCCGTGTGCCTGTGTGTGTGTGTCTGTGTGTGGGTGTGCTTGTGCTCATAACGGTTATTACTTAATTGAACTTTAAATTAAGCCTTAAGCCATGGGACATCGGCTGCAAAGCTTTCTGTTAGGGCTGCTTAATGTTAATTCGCACTTAATAAGGATATACCCCAGCGGACATAGGGAACAAAGCAAAGCATTTATATATATGTATGTAAACGGAGAGAGTTTATTGTGTCTACGTATATTGTTGATATGCGGAAGGGGCGGTGGTGTCTAGGTAAGCGTGGCTCTATTGAAGAACTTACATCTGTTGAGTTGGCAGGACTATGAAATGATGGCGAATGCTTTTCAACTGTGATTAATTTGCACTTTTTAAGTTAATTAGTGTATTAGTATTAGAGATAAAGAGAGAAATAGAGAGAGAGTGAGAGAGAGAGCGAGAGAAGACTGCATAGATTAGGTACATGAATTGATTTCTATGATTGCAAAGTGCTATTTGTTGTTGTTAAGCTGTTATACTGATATACAGCTATACTGGTATAAAGTTAAACAGCAATACTGTTGTACTATTATACTTTTTTCATTATTTTTCAGCAATTATACTGTTATATTATATATTTAAACTGTTATACTTTTGTATAACTCATATGCTACACAGTTTAGCTGAGGTATGATGTACTGTTATACTACAATTATACTGCAATATAATTCAACTGTAACTGTTATACTATAATACAGCTCGGTTGATAATAAAAGTTGTACATAGTTAATCATACATTTCCCCCTTGCAATTACATCATCGTAATTCAAGGCTAGATAGCACCAGCCCAAAACAGTTATATTGCTGTATAAAGTAGCCTTAAGGGACTAAAACTTCAAAACAGCTTTGCGACACGTTGCCTAACAGCTAAGGGCGAGCGATTTACAAGGCTTGACTAAAAATAGCCCACAAGTTGTTGGCTTCAGTTTGGCTGGGCGAAGAAATCAATAAAAATCAACTAAACACATAATGCGTTACAAATTAGATGCCATAAATTTAAGTAATGTATGAGTATACAGTTAATATAGACAGAATACAAAGAATACACAATACACAAAGAGAAACATAGACAGAGAAAGAGAGAGCGAGAGCGAGAGAGATAGAAAAAAGAGACGAAGAATGGGAGTAAGACAGACCGACAGACAGTTCGACAGCAAATACATAAAAATAACAAATACGTTCAGAAACATATACAATATATAGTAGGTATAGATAAATAGACACAGAGTCTAGGAACAGGAAATGCTTGAAATAATGTTGTTGGTATTTTTAATGTATTTTATTTATTTCTTTGGATTTTGTATCCGTTGATTTTTACTACCTTGTCGCGATTATTACTGCCCGCGCCCTTCCTATATCTCAAGGAAATGGATCTTTTGGCTTTTAAAAGGGCATTCTAAAACAAATAGAGCGGGTAGATGGCATTTGGTAGGGTATATGATAGCACGATATATATAGTTAAGGTATATAATTATATTTAGATATATATGTGATAAATATGTATATGTTAATATAGATTATTAAGTATTCAGTATATAGCTTAGCTGAAAATTGAATAAATATATTTCAAAGAGCTGGCACGCACACAAAACAATAATAATAACAAAATAACCAAAGAAACGAAAACAATATATCAACAAAACACTGGTTAAGTAAATCAAACAAATATTAAATAAGTCTAAAGGAGAGCAGCATCAGTTCAGAGGAGACGTAAAGCCTGGCATTTGTACAACTCACCTCAGCATCAGGTTGCGAGCGATCGGAATCATCATTATCCAAATTCTGATTCTCCAAATGCTCCTCCTCGGTCTGTGGCATTTGCTGCAACTCCTCCTTGGACTTGAAGTCCAATTGCCTGATGTAGAAGGGCATGATTAAGCCTAGAATGACCTGGTTGAAAAACAAAATATGTTTAATAAACAATAATAAATAAAAGTATTTGTAGGTTGTTTTAAAATATTCAAAATAAGACAGATTACAAATAAAATATTAAAATAAATAAAATGAATGTCATTCAACTCTATATTTCATATAGTATATTTGCTCCTCCTCTCTCCATTTACTCACCTTGAAATTGGTATTCTTTCGCGTACGCAATCCGCCCATCCAGAGGTCCGCCAGAATCACCTGGCTGCAGGGATGAGCGAGCAGAGCGCGATGATTGGCAGCGACAGCGAGCGAGAGGCAGCTCTGATTGGACCACGAGTGCAGTTCGCATGTGAGCAGCCGCTGCGCCTTCTCCGCATCCTGGCGATAGCTAAAGTCCAACAGTTTGTTGCCTAGCAACGCAGCCAGCACAGAGAATCACAAACAAAACAAACGTCAATTAGTTGACCGCAAAGGTCAGGTGCGTTAATTAGAAGCGCTGTGCGATTGGCTGTCGCTCACACTCGCGACTCCCGCATTGCGGTTGAGAGAGAGTTAATGAAATCAAGCATTTGACCACAATCAACCACGACCTACCTTTGCTCTCAAACTCTTTGGCATAGGAGCGCAGCTCCTCATAGATTTCCGTATCCAAATCATCCTCGGCTGCCTCATGAGCCATGGCCTTATATAGCTTGCAGGCGACCAGCGACTTGGCCAGCGCCTCCTCGCCATGGGTCCACATAAGCAAAGCCATTTGCTGACGCTTCGTGAGCACGGCCCAAATCTAGATAGAGAAAGGCAGAGAGATAGAGAGAGAAGGCGAAATAAATTGAGGCATAATGGAGTCCAACAAAGGCAATTGTTTAGAAATTACGTATACGCACCAGCAGCTCGTTGAATGGAAACTCGAAGAGTGCCATTTCGGTGGTAAATGGCAGCAGTCCTGTAACGAGGCTCAGCGAATTGGCCCCCGCATAGCGCTGATATTGATATGTCGAGGACTTGCGGCAGGCATTTGCATAGCTGTTCATCACCTTTGCGTAGATGGGCCGAAATTTGCGACGCGTATAATACGAGCTGTAATAAATACGAACACACACACACACACACAATATAAATAGCCAGCCAAATAAAATTTGGTTTGTTCTTCAAGTCAAGTCATTTCTCAACCAAAATTTGCATTTAGGCAAAATTTTTTATCAGAGGGAAAGAGAGAGAAAGAGAGAGGCTGAGAAGGGGAGAGAGAGTAGACCAAGTAATAATAATAGCCGTAGAAAAAGTGTATCTGCTTTTTTTTCCATTTCTTTTTTTTTCCATTTTATTATTCTTTATTATTTGCTAAGCTCTTCCCGCATTGCCATTTCGTTTAGCATTCCCTTTGTCAACAATTGGATTGAGGCGCTGCTTGGTTTTTATCCCTTTGTAAAACTCTGTATCTGTATCCCCTCTGCCAGGCATCTGCTTAAGTGATTTATATTCTGACCCCAAAAAGAAGTGAAAATTTATAAAAATCTAGATGCTTTTGCTTAATCTGTATATATATATATATATCTATATATATCTATATCTATATCTATATCTATATCTATATCTATATCTATATCTATATCTATATCTATATCTATATCTATATCTATATCTATATCTATATCTATATCTATATCTATATCTATATCTATATCTATATCTATATCCGCATCCGCATCCGCATCCGCATCCGCATCCGCATCCGCATCCGCATCCTGTATCTGTATCTGTATCTGTATCTGTATCTGTATCTGTATCTGTATCTGTATCTGTATCTGTATCTGTATCTGTATCTGTATCTGTATCTGTATCTGTATCTGTATCTGTATCTGTATCTGTATCTGTATCTGTATCTGTATCTGTATCTGTATCTGTATCTGTATCTGTATCTGTATCTGTATCTGTATCTGTATCTGTATCTGTATCTGTATCTGTATCTGTATCTGTATCTGTATCTGTATCTGTATCTGTATCTGTATCTGTATCTGTATCTGTATCTGTATCTGTATCTGTATCTGTATCTGTATCTGTATCTGTATCTGTATCTGTATCTGTATCTGTATCTGTATCTGTATCTGTATCTGTCTCTGTCTCTGTCTCTGTATCTGTATCTGTATCTGTATCTGTATCGTATGTATAGTATGTATAGAGATATCTTTATTAGAGTTCCTTAACCTAAATGAGATAATTATAAGCTCACGCTATGACGCACACGACCTCTTTTAAAAGAAGTCCAAAGTAAACTCATGCTTACAAATTTATTTGACTTGTTTTGTTTTATTCAACATTATTCGCAGAGGCTCTTGAAGCAGCTGCTGTTGCTCACTTTTACGGGCAAACAATTAAAGCCAGCATAATAAAGAAAAAATGTAGCCATAAATAATTTATGGCACATAAACGCGCGACAATTGGAAAATCAATTCAAATTTTATGGTAAGCAAATCAAAAACTCGGACGAGTTTAATTACTCACGGATTGGCAGGCCAGGTCTTTAGGCCTGACGATTGCTTAAATGGCTGTCAGCCTGCTATCCTGCTGGCATGCCTGCCTGTCTGCCTGTTGCTCATTCAAATGTCTAGACGCTGCTGAATGGAATTGCAAACAGATACAAATAGACAGCCACAGACGCAAACACACACACACACAAGCACACACACAGTGTGCCTATGAAATTCACGCCCTAAAGGTATTTGGCAAGCCAAGCGAGAAAAGGCCAAAAACAAGAAGCGAACCGTAATTTAATCAAAACAACAGTTTCGATGCCAGTTTCAGTTTTCAGCTTTCAGCTTTCCGTTGAGCTCTGCTCTATAGACCGAATAGCATTTAGATGGGCATTTGTCAGATAACTTGTGACCTTTGATTGAAGCACAAAGGAACCACAGCGAAGGGACAATAGGCGAGAGCAAGAGGCTAGTGTTAAATTAAGTAGTTTATCTAGCTGAACGACATCAATGAGCCAATGGCCAAAAGCCATTGCCAATAAACAAGCTGCACAAAATTGTGCCAAAAGCACAAAATTTGTTTACTTTTACTTAAAGCTGCAAATAAAATTGATGTTACTTCGTTTTTGTTTTTGTTCTTGTTTCAATAAAACTTCATAAACAGTGCTGAACCCTTAATTTGGGCACTTTCTGTTCTATTTTTTGCTCTTGCCCTTTCCGTTGTTCCATTTGGCAAACTGCGCTCAAGTTTTCGCTTCTTGCAATGCGCTTTTTTGGCTTTTAATTAAATTACTTGATTGATACATTTGCCATGATGCTGCCGTCCCATTGAAACCGCAAACAGTTTTCGGACCAGCTCACAATGAGTTGAGGAAAAACAAGGCAACTAAATGGCAATAAACGACCAATGAATACCCTTTACTAATTTTATTTGCGATAGGGTTGTTCTAAAGTAACTAATTAATTGTCGACTTTACGATTTTTACAGTCATTTCATACCCTGTAAAAGGAATATGGTTTCTCAGCGGTTGCTTTCTTTGTATACGATGTAAACTTCTGTATATTCCAGCGCCCTCATAAATATACCTTGTAGAAACTTTAACCCCCCTCTCTAGGCAAATCACAGATCCTATTTATAATGCCCAGCATGTCCAGTCCGTAAAGGTAAGGGTTTTGTATATTTTATTAAATTTCTACACACAAAGCGACCTCAAAAGCCGCGTTAACTAAATTTAAGCCGCTGCGTTTTTTGCCTCGCTGGCCAAAAATGTTAATGCCGAATAATTATAGACGCCTTTTGCCGTCTGCTTTCGCTCTGCCCTGTGACTTTTTGGGCTCTTTTTTCCTCTCTTTGCCTTTCCACACGCTACATAACAAAGTTATTACATTTTCATAAACAAATTTTTGCCAAAGCGGAGGCGACGTTGACGCCGGCGTTGCGGCTCATCAAATTTAATCCGGCAACAAGTTAAAGGCGTCGGTCCATGACGCGGGCCACAGCAGTCCATACTCTCGGAGGTGAGGCACTCGCACCCATCTTTATAGCGCTTGGGTCAAAGTTAAAAACACAGACATAAACTGAAAGCGCTGCAGTGATAAACTAATTTGTTTGGGTCCACCCTGAAGCCCACTCACGTGCGGCCGCCCACTGTCCATTTGGCTGCCTTCAGCTTTTAATTGGCACGCGTTTTATATGCCAAAAGACGATCATTATAACTTAGGCATTAAGTTTGTCACGACCTTTTTCCCCGAAATTTACGACAGCTGCCTTTTGTAGTGCCATTTCCCCCAAAATATTTCAGTTGCTCCAACATTAAACTTTCTTTCTGCTCTTCTGTTTGCTGGGGCACAATTACTCAAACGGCTCGATTTGATGGGCTTTAACTCTTTCTTGTGGGTTGCGCACTTCACTTCGGATGAGAGTGATCAAATATCAAGGAGCCCATATAAATACCCTGCTCGATTTTAATTGGAAATTTCCTAGAAGTAACTAAAACTAAACATGTGGGAAGAGTTTTAATACGCACTTAACATAACATACAATATAACACTTAACATACAATATAATCCATTTCAATCGGATTATAGTATATCTAAAGGCACTTTGAATGTTTCTAAATAAAGCCAGATTTAGTTCCAGGCTAATAACTTAGCTTAAGCACAATAGTGCTCATAAAATTGTCTTAAACGCATATGATCTGAATATACCCGAATTTATTTTAATGACAGGGTATTTAAAACGCATCAGACTAACTAAAATCATATTCGAATAAAATGGGCACGCAGTGAGTTTTATGAACGTATACACCCTTTTCACTTAACTAACAGGGTATTAAGAAACTGAGTATGTTATTAGATTTTACTGCCTCTAAGACCAAGCAAAAAATTCAACTAAAATGTGAAGTCAAATTTCGTAATATACACAATCAAAAATTAATATACCCGCCTTCTTGTAAGTTACAGTGTATTTTTTTTTTATCATTCTACGTAATTTAAAGGTAACAAAACGAATTCTAGTTTACAACACAAGCTTCGATTTCCCAATGGCAATACGTATACCTGCTGAGTCACAATTCACAGGGTATTTAACATCAGCATATGCAATTTGAAGCGAATAAAACTTATTTAGAATAAAATGTGCCCACTGAAACGGTATTAACAGGGTATTTAAGCTTTTTAAACTTAATGATGTCACAAGTCCATGACATTTCGTATCACCCCTCTTTAAAATGGAAATTTTGGCAGGGTATTAAAAGGTTTTGCACACACGTGAGCTGCAGGCACACGATGCCTGCATACGCCACGCAGTCTGCTCTCACTCACCGATAGGCGCCGCCCATTAGTTTATTGATGACGAGGCCAATGTCGTGGAGCGTGTAAATGTAGCCTTTGGGTATATGCGGGCGCACATCGCGCAATATGTAGCTGCAATTGAGAACGAAATAAAAAAGGTGAAACGAATGAAAATAGAGGAGGAAACGACAAACATTTATTCGCTGCAGATATACATGCGAATATATACATATTCATAGGCCATAGGCAAGGCAAGTGAATGGGAATGGGAATGAGAATGAGAAAGAGAAAGAGACAACTTACCCCAGGGTATTGGCCGGACCATGCTTTGTGTTGTAGAGCTCCTCGAGTCGGGGTATTGTTAAAAATTTCTTCATCGAGACGCCATTTTCCAAAAGTAATTTGACAAAATCGATTCTATCATGTTCGAGTGCCTGCATCATGGCCTCATCCAAAGCCCCTGCGGATATATATAATACAGAATTATGCAGAGATTGAATACATATTAGACATATTGAAGAGTATATATACATATACATATATATGTATGTATATCTGTTTGTATATCTAATGTATTGCTGTACCATTGGGCCACTCCTGTCCATAGACAAATATTTCACTGCGCGCTATGTCCACACGATTCCATGTCAATGCAAGACTCAATTGCTCTGGGGGACTGAGATGCTGCGATTTGAATAGAGCTGTTAGAATGGTCTGATCCAGCTCCTGCGCCTCGCCCTCCGGCTTTTCCTGTATGCGAAAGACCGTAATCTGAAAAGAGACAGAGCAAGAGGAAGAGAGAGAGAGAGAGAGAGAGTGAGTCAGAGACACGAAATAATGCCTTAAGTAATGCCTAATGCAAAAACCGCTAAACAAAAATAATGTTTGTCTAGCAGAGGGGGCGGGGCGTAGAGCGGGCGAAGGCAGAGCCAAGCCAGAGGTCTGTCCTATTTGAAAACCAATTAAAATCTTAATAACAACCACAGCGAAATTCATCAAAATTCATCAGAAACTGGAGCGAATTCTATTTGCGGCATGCAAAAATGTTCGTAGCTGATTTAAAATTCATTAAACGTTCAATTGAATCTTGAGTGAGGCTCATTATTTTGCAGCACTTAATTCATGCTTAACTGTTCCCTAATTAAATATTTAAATCTCCAAAAGCGTCACAGACTTAAGTGCATTTAAGAACTGTTACAAACACACGCATACACACACACACATACATAGACATAAATATATAATACTCCAGGTGAAATGAGTTTCTCCACCATCTTTGATGCCTTTTTAATTGCTCAAAGTGAAAGCCTTTCGCCTGGCCATTAATCATTTATACTTTAAACTAAAGAAACTTTCTTTAATACAGTTCAGTTGATAACACCTCAGTGCGCCTCATCATCTGGAAAAAGTGCTGAGGCAATGCCACCTGGCGACTCTTAAATATCTATAAAATATCTTTTACAATTCGCTTTTATGTCTTTACGCAAATTTTTTTTTTCAGGAAAAGGAATTGAAATATTGCGTTGCCAAGGATATTAGCCAAACATATATGTATATGAGGTTTACAAGCTGAGTAAGATGGGAGTAAACAAAAGGTAATAAAGTAGAAAAACAGACGTATACTAGCATAGGAGAACACCTATAAAGTGTGGGCGTGGCTAAGGGCTGAGATATATGCTATGCATGTATTCTAGGATTTTTTTGAGAATTTAAAATAGTAAATTAATCCGTTTAATAATGCCTAGAATTCTAGGATTTTATTGTGAGAAACCTTTTTTATAACCAGCCTGTATATACAAGTAGTATATCAAAATATCGAAGTGTATTTATTTATTTACTTAAAAGATGTTTTGAATAAATATTCTCCAACTTATACTATTATATTTACGTCTATATATTGTTATAAATGCCGTCTATAAATAACGAGATAATTCATAGTTTATACGTTACCAATCTTACAGTTATAGTCTTAAAGTAATTCATTCGCAGCAAGTTGCGTCTATATCAAACAGTCAGCATTCTTGCAGCTGTAGAGTCCAATTAGACAGTCAAATAATGCAGGCTGTCGAAAGGTATTTGCTAAGCATACGAATATCAACTTGTTAAGTTAGTAACGCAGCAATCCATAGGGAGTTTGAAGCGAGCTACCACAGTGAACTAGTGGCAAGGGTTGGCTGGCTTCGCTCCATAACTAAACAGCAAAAGTCACATTAATCAATGCATATTGATAGTGTGTAAATGCTGGTCCCATAGGAACTCATTGTAAGCACAGAAAATCTATATGTATATATAAATATTGTGACATTTGTAGCGGTATCCATGACTGTATCTATTGAATGTATATAAGAAACTAAACTGTTATGCCTGTTATATAAATTTTAGATACTGAGTTCTTATATTGTAAACATAAACATAGAACTGCATTGAATACAATTTAAATATGCTCTCAAGCAACTTCAAAGTTCTTCAACCCAAGATATGCTGCCATACAGCCTTGCCGTATCCAACATCTCCTATTACAGGGCATCTTGAAATTTTACAAAAACTATTTTCTAAACCACCCACTCAATGGCAGACTGAAGTACTTACCAAATTCTTATTGCGCGTGCACTGCAGCAGCTCCTGGTAAAGTTTCTCCGCCTGATCCAGGCCCACTTCAAAGGTTTTCTGTATGGTTCCGATGAGATAATCACGCATAGATTCCAGCACGGGCTGCTCCTCGCCATCCGAGGCGTACCTATAACAAATTTATGTACAGAAGTTCAAGTCGCAGTTAGAAGCAACTCTAGCGTCTAATTAAACACATTAAATTAAATGAAGCTGACGAGGGGGTGGCCGGGAGATGGCAACAAATTGTTAGGTAAATAACGGAAGAGCAGCAACAGAAAACAGACTGACAAAAAGTTTGTTGAAACCAATTGGGCTACGCCAGGCGGCGTATGCGTAATGTTGCGGGCCATGCGGCGTATGCGTAATATTGTGGCCAACATTTTGTCAGTGGGACCCGAATTTAAATAATTTGCCCAAAATGTCGTGTACTTAATGAACGTGAAGTTGCCTGCCTAAAGCAGTCAGACAGACACTAATAACAATATCAGACACAAAAGGCAGCAGCAGCAGGAGCAGAGGGAGCAGCAGAGGCAGCCGCAAATTAAATAAGAAAACGGGCAACAGCGGAAGGAAGTCGGCAGGCTCAACCTGCATGAGAACGCGCGTAACTAATTAAATTTCAACTAACTGCTGTTGCCTCATTAATTGCCTAGCTCACAATCAGTCGGATGTCAAAAAAAAAAAAAAAAAGAGAGATATATATGTGTATAAATAAATAACAATCCGTTTAAACTCACTTGTGCACAAAGGCCAACAAATCGGCGGCACGGCCGGAACCATCGCAAACAACAACAGGAACTGGAGGCGAATCCGTCACGTATTCGAGGACAGCACGTATTGTGTTCGTTCCGCCCTCAATCACCAGACAGACAACCGGCGTACTGGAATGTGTGACTGCAAGGGCATAAATAAATTATGTTAAGGATATATATAGGTATATGTATGTATATAGATATAATGTAGCTAGCAAAGGTGCGAGTCAATGATATAATTCACAGCGAGCATCGCTCAGCTCAGCTTGCGGCTGTCTGCTAACTCAACCTAACCTCAGCATGATTTATGCAATACAATTGTCCACTCTTCAATCACAAGCTTTTTATATAAGGCAGTCATAATAATCATAATAATAAAAGAAAACAGCAACAACAACAACATCAACTACATCATCATCATAATAATAATCATCCATAGGCCACAGAGGAGAACAGCCCCACTACACATTCGTAATTTCATACTTACGTTTTGTACAGAGCTTCGATGAACGAACGACTGTTCCACGAGCTGAACGAATACATACATATATATATTGTAGAAATGAAACTTTAACCTTAAGAAATGACACGAGCTGAAAGTTGAGTTAGTTGTGGAACTTTGTCTTGTCTCTTGCTCTACACATATGTCTATCTCCTTTTTACTAAGCTTTTCTCTTCTCTATATCTGATCAAATGTGATTTTATATGAAAATATACATTTAAACAGATATATATTTATGTATATTAAAGCCCTAGCAGTTTACACCTATTTCTCTCTTTCTCTCTCTCTGTTTCCACGAACAGAATAGTATAAATTAAGAATAGTACTAATAGTACTCAATCCATCATTTCATGACACTTACTTCACCCCATTATAGTCTTCACTCAATCTATCCATCTTTCCCATACTCAAGTAAGATTAATCCTATGCTTTCAACTCTTATATTTGCACGTAGCTAAGTCAGATTTAAGAGCCGTGCGGCTGTGTGCAATTTCTCTGCACAAGGAATGCAAACTGAACTCTGTACAATGCGCCTCAGGCAGCTTTTGTACGAGTTCTGGCTCAAAGCGTATTAATCTTTGCCACAATTTCTAAAGTTTCTTCCTCTTCCAGTGCTGAGTGCCTGCCTGCTTGCCACAAGTGCAAAGCCAACTAAAACTGATTGCATATGTCCGCTTTGCGGATCTCTCGTCGGTAACTTACATGGATGCAGCTTTAAATTCGAAATGAATTTCTCCAGTTTGCGACGCAGAATCAATTCAGCTCCGTATTTGGCCATCGTGCCATTGTCCACGAGCAGGAAATACGCATGTCGATTGTTCAGCACAGCCAATTTTGATCTGCCAGAGGAACGAAAGCCAATCAAATAAAATATATCAAGTAAAGTTTATATGTAAAGTGTCAGCTGAGTTGAGCCTGGCAACAGGTGCCACAAATGGCCAACTGAACAGCTTTAACAGGACTTGTGATGTGGCCCCATCAAATATGCAGTGGATTGGGGGTTGAATTGTATTTTTCTTGGTTTTTTTCGGAACCTACCTTGGCGAGCTAATGCTGTGGCAGGGCACCTCACGATTGTGACCCAACAGCTCATGATTGCGCTCCACAATGCCCCAGGGCGCAATGCCGATGCTGACCACGCGCCCTGTTCTCTGTTGCCCCTCCAGCAGCAAAGCGTCGCCCACTTGCTTAGTGACGCCTGGAAAACAATGAAAAAGGAAACAGAAAAAGAAAAAGAACATTTAAGAACATTCCGTATCGAGTACAACTGACTGCTTGACACATGTTCATAGATTAAATAGGGGAAAAATGCTCTTGAAGGGACTATAAAAATATGAATCTTATGGTTAATATGGGAACGTAACATTTACCTATAAATATTTTAAATTGAAAGTTCGTTTCTTGAATAGTGGCGTTAATCTTTCAAAATATAAAAAGTCATTTTCGATTCATCATGTCCCAATGGGAGTAATAAATATTTTATTAGACAAGACACAAGTCATAACTAGGAAATGCTTTACATTCGTTGAGCGACAGACTTATAGCACTTATATACCCTCTTCACTGCTTGAACTGGCATAAAAGCACAAAAAATACTTATAGACAATGTGAGCAACAGCAACAATGTCAAAAATGAATAAGTTTCTGTGTTACTTTTTGTGTTTTATTTTGCTTCTTTATTTTATTTTATTTTATTTTTATTTTTTTATTTATTTTATTTTTTTATTTTTTTTTTTGCCTTGAAGCCCAAGTACCTTGACTTTGACTTTCACTATATATAGTATATATATATTCTTTTTTTGTGCTATTGGTTTGAGTTCATAGCAGAGCGGCGTGTCTAAAATTTAATAACAGCTGCAGCATCACAAAAGATAGCTGACAAAAAAAAAAAAAAAAAGGACGACTCTAAAAGTAAAGTTGAAAGCGAAGAACGAATAGCAGATGCGCTGAAAGAAAACTAGATTAAAGTATGCTCAGATTATCCTGTTGAGAAACTATGCATAAATTCAGCATTAAAATAAATAGAATAGATGTAGAATTCCTCCAGAAAATAGTTTTAATTTGTATACCATGATTTTTTTATGGAATATATAGTTTTAAAATATATTAAATGAAAGCTGCATTTTAATTTAAAAATGGAAATTTTAAATATATCTTTTCTGATTTTGCAATATATCTTTTCTGATTTTGCAACTCGAAACCCTTTACAGTTTTCTATCCCAGCCAAACCCCTCAAAATTTCAATGTTCTCCCATTTGTTAGGGTATTTAGTGTCGCTCAGTTGATACGGAAACTGTGTGCAATCACTTGACTGCGCGATATCCGCTTGGGATTCTTATTTATTTAATTTTCAACTGAATGCCCAACTTGAACTTCAGCTCGTTATTGCTGTTGGTGTAGCGGGTTTCATTATTGTCTTGTCTAGGGGTTTTTTTCAGCTTCTTTGGCTCGAAACTTATTTAACTTTCGTTCAAGTTGACTTTAATAGTGTTGCCATAAAACAGATGGCTGTAGTAAAAAGTGAAATGGAATCCGAGTGACTCACCTGTATTGGTGCCGCCCGTGAAAATCCAAGCTCCCGTTGTTTTGGCCGCCTTTAACAGTCCTTTGCGTATTTCCTACAGAGCGGAATTTGAAATTTGAGGAATTTCTTCTTCTACTTTTGTTCTTTTTCTTTTCTTTTTTTTTTGAATCCCATTCAATTAGCGTGTGAAAGTGGACACTTGGTTTGCGTAGTTGAACGCTTTCACTTCTGCTTCACCTTTTGCCCTTTCTTGCTTACCTTTTTGAGCTTTGCCTGCAAATCAAAGTTGGCTTTGCCGCCCTGCACGGTGATCAAAAGTTTTGGCAATTCCAGATTCCATTCCTTAGTGAATAGCTGCACCAGCAGCTCCGGACGTGTATCAAATGACAGGCGCACATACTGTAGATATATAATGTACATATATATATATATCTGTATTCAAGCCAAGTTATTGGCAAAAGTTAAAGCCGCGCCTCCAGAGACACAGAGTGACTCGCAACAAATTTTCTTTCAAAGTGGCATATTGTTTAAGCCACGTGATATAAGAAGACACTCAAACAGCTCAAGCTGGGTGGCTAGAATATATTCTAGTTGGGTAGTTTTGACTTATTATAATTCTTAAGTAAAAATTTACAGATTGTGTTATAATAATAATAATAATTTATAATAAATATTAATCATATTATTTATTCGCGCATTTATAATTGTGTAATTGAGTAACTTAATTGCTTATGAATTATTATTAATTATAATTTTGGAACAAAAATATTTTAATAATTAAAATTTGTATTTTTAGCCTGCTATTACAATTTCGATTTTAATTACATCATTAATATTTATTGATTGATATCAGTAATTATTTTAATTTCTTTAGCTTTCATATGTATATATGATAGACATTATTATAATTTTTTTTTTTTTTTAATTACATAAATTACTCAATTATGTATCTAATCCACTCTGGTAGTTATGCTATGAAAATTTGACTTTTCCACTTAGTTATACTTATTACAATTTACAGATTAGTCACGCAAAATTACCCAACTAATGGATCCGAGCATAGTTCCTCAACTTGAGCTGCTGTTTTCTGAACTTTCCATGGCTCTAGGCAGGCTATGGGCTCCATTGAACTCACCTGCGCCTTGGTGGGATGTGCGCCACCTTGAAATTCAATTGTGCCGTACGCATCGGTGGGCTGTGGGCGTGTGTGCTTGGTGGGCAGCCAGGTGTCGCCCGGCGAGCCGCTCTCGATGCCGGCAATCGTCTGATGCGTAATCTGTGCCTGGCCGCAGCAGCATCTGTCAAACGCAAAAGAGTTGTTAATCTGCAGTTAAAGTCAACTTGCAACCGGATGTGGCACAAAGCCAAAAAGGAAACATCTCTATATGGATATATTTACATATATATTTATATTGCTGGCAAATTAGTTGAGTGGGTGGATATATGTATGTATGTGTATATCTGTTATTGTTGTACGACGTGTTGATTTATTGTCAATATATGTGTTGTATAAATGACACGAGGCAGCACACACACACACACACACACATACACACAAGCATGCTTGCTTCCCACGCGCATTATGGCAAGCCTCACGTGTAAAATAAACCGTTATTTATGCATGTGCGGCTCTTTTGTTGGCGCTTATTGTGGGTGGTCTTGTTCCTGTTGCTACTGCTGCTGTTATTGTTGTAGTTGCTGCTGTTGCTGTTGCCGCTGTTGTTTTTGTTTACTCATACGCAAAGCTGTCACATTTGTCTGTCGCGTGCCTCTATCTCTCTCTCTCTCTCTCTGTCTGAGTGTGAGTGTGCGTATGTGTCTTTGGCCATAACAATAGCTTTGACAGAGGCACCATGTTTGTTTGCTTGTCATTTTTTTCGGTCTTCCTGCCTCCCCTTCTCCCCCTCTCTCTCTCTCACTTTATCTGCTTTGCTGCTCTTGGCATTTGCTCAAAAGTTTTCGCCCTGTTAAATAATAAATTTCAATTACAGCTAACTAATACAAGCCACGCATATGCATCCCTCCGTAACAATTGGCTAATGAATAAATCAATTGCAGTACCAGGCTTAACTTTGGCTTACCTGCCAAGGATACCCTAAAATTGACTCACGTGGGGTATGCTTCACTTATTCCACATAGTTGAAATATCTTTAACATTTTTTCTTCTCTCATTCTAACAGTATATACACCTTTTCGTACACCTTTCCTCTCATTCCATATTGCTTCATATGTTGTTGTCTCTGTCTTTCTCTTTATACCATTATCTATCTCTTTCTATATATCTATTTTTCTCTCTGTCTATCTTTCTATCCCTCGATCTTTCTATTTCCATCTCTCTCTATCTTTCTCTCTTCGTCTTTGACACACTCTCTCTCTCTCCACCATTCCTTCTCTCCCTATATCTTTATATCATCGTCTCTGACTCTCTCTCTCTCTCTCTATCTCTTTCTATACTCTATTATCACTCACTATACATACAATTTGATCCCCCTATTTACCTCTCTTTACTCTTCCACCCCTCTTTTCTTTATAGAACTAATATACCCTTTAATTATATTTCAGCTCTTGAAATTAAATAAATCTGCAAATTTATGCGTGGCACATGCAACACGTGCCATCCTGCATACAATCAATCAAGCCATTTAAGACACGCAAAGCCTTGCATAATATTTAACACACTCACACTCACTCACTCACACACACACATACTCACACACTCGCAGACAATTTACAAGCATGTGTAAATAGCGTAATTTATTTAGCCAGGACAAGAGAAGGTAAATGGCCATCTGTTTGGCAATAGATTTCAGTGGGCGGCCACCGAACAATTGTCAACACAAATTGTCAGCGGCAACAATTGTAAATGACTGCAACAACAACAACAAAGTGTGGGAGGCGACGGGGCGGATAGGCAAGTAAGCAGTGGAGGCGTGACTGGCAAAGTAGAGGGCACTAAGAGAGCTGCCAGCTCAGGGCAGGCAGCTGATTGTGGGTTAAAAGCGCGTTGCCAAATATTTGACAAGCAGCTCAGCTGCCTGATAAGAACGTCAGTCGGGCAAAGTCATAAAGCCATCATAAACTGTGCACACTGTACGTAACATTGAGCAAAACAAAAAACTTTCACCCAAATAAGCCGAGACGAGTCAGGCGCGGAAGGGCCAGACAGAGAAGACAGGCTGGCAGGCAAGTTTATAACGCATTTATCTCAATTGGTTTAGAGAGAGCATCTTCAGAGGTGGGCGGGATGGGGCGGTGAGTTGGTTTAACTGCCAGCCATAATAATAAACAATGAAATGCCAGCGCCAAAAATGAAACTAAATACACAAATTTCCCCAATTCGTCTGCCTTTGTTCCCTCCCTCTCAGAATTTAGCCCACTTTAAAGTGGGCCAAATACATTGCAGCAAACTGTTTTTTGATACGCCAAACTGGGTCACAACTTTCGAGCCAAATCGTGGGGGCTGTCTTAACTGCGTTAGTTGGGGCCACCGCTGCACTCCACTGGCTTAATTAGTAAATGAATCGCAATTGGATTTGCATCGCTTTGGCACTTACTTTGTATCGTCCTTTGGGCATGGTATAAACTTGATGCATTCGCGCTTCTGAAAGTTTGTCTCGATCCAACTGCGTGGCTGATGCTATATATATGCAGATATATACAGGGGATAGATACAAGAATTTAATAAAATAAGAAGGTAGAAAATTTGTATTAGTTTATTGTCTTGAAAGAAATATTTTTAAGGAATTTTAGTGGCACATAAACATCTACGAAATATTTAAATAAAATATATATAAAATATAATAATTTATATATATTTTATTTAAATTAGTTGATTTGTACAAATTTATGTATATAAATATATATCAAGTATATATGTATATATTTGTATTTTGTACAAACTTGAGTCTTGTTATACACCTTGATAAAATACAATTAGAATTGTCAAGTAAATAAAAATTCATATACATGTAGAGGCTATATAGAGCTTAAATAAAAATTTCAGCTTGAAATTTTAGAAATTTTGTGAAGTTTTTCAACTATATTGGATCACTGCATTGTTGTTGTTTTTACTTAAGGAACTAAAACCATATAAACTAAAAACCAATATACTCGTTTTATTTTCCCGAATGAGTATACAAATATATATACACTATAAGTTATCAGTGCTCGGTGAGAGTGAGTCTATACAAATTAGCTAGAGATCATGACAGATATTTAAAAAGCATTAAATAAAATGTTATAATTAAAAAAAAATATATAAAATTATTTGTTTAGTTTATATAATATAGATAAAAAACAATATTTATAGACAAGTAAAAGCTTGGCCATCGGGCTATATCGACTTTATAATACTCGTTATGATAATATAATCTTTAACTCTACAGCATATGTTACTCCATTCAATTATCCAATAAAATTTTTATTTTTCTTTACCCAAGTAATAAAATCGCTACAAAATCAGATAAAAAACTTCAGAAAAACTTCAAGTTTCAATAAAACAATACGATTAATGCACTATGCAGATACACATAGCAGATAATAGCATGCTAAGTCAACTGAACAATTCGATTGGCATATCGAATCGAAACTTAACGCATTTGCAGTTAAGACGAAGCACAAGCTACAGCGAAAGCCATGCAAAATTGTTGCAAAGAACAGAGAAAAACAGAAAGTAAGCAAAGAAAATAAAAGAAAAGATTCCAAATGGAAAAACTTGGTAATGGATGGCAAAAACTATTCGAGGGAGACTTAAGCGCAAAACGCGCGGCGCTAAAACTCGTCGCAAATGCAACAGTTGAAAAAGAAAGAAACAAAAACATGAGTACGTTGTGTAGAGCACGAACAGTTAGATACCCTGGAAAAATACTTGATGTTATCGGTGGATGCTTATCAAATTACATCAATTTTGTTGGCTTGAGAAATGATTTAATCCAGCACTTGTTACGTTTGCTCTCTATATTTATTGGATTATGTTCTTGAGGTAAAAATATGTTAGAATAAATAGGTTTCATCAGCTTCCGCCATATTATAGTTATCGATATATACTAGCTCTCGAAATTTAATAAACAACTAAATATTACTATAATAGTTTGCTCGCGTTATTCGATTCGATTATTCGATAGTTATCGAAACTCAGTATTTACCGCAATGTGCATTTAAATGTTATTATTGTGATTTCCGAGCTGTTATACTAAAGCTTTATGTGATATTATACCTAGTAATGCCTATGAATATTACATTAATCTATGTTTATCTGTCATCAATTTGTGTATCGATTTGAAAGCAAACCCATGCCGATACGCACAGCAACCCTAGCTTCAATATGCCCTCTCTAATCACATTCCACCAGCACAGGGTATAAATCAACATTTAAAGCCTGCCATTGTTGGCTAACCGACAGCATAAGACTGCGATTAGTGGAAGGGAAGGGGAGGGGGTGCGATAGATTGAGTATTTGTGTTTACTATTGGCCGCTTCTATTTGAAGTACCTCCGGTGTTGGTTCTGGCTGCGCTCTGAGCAAATCACGCACATTGAGTATCAAAACTTTCGACAGCGTCGATGAGACGGAGGAACGCTTACGCAAACGTTGCCGCTTGCGAATGCCACGCGGCGTGCTGGGCAGTGCATCGGCTCCATCCACGGATGGAGCTGTCGTGGGTGGGGGTGTGGCTGGGCCTACCGGCGGCGTATTGCTGAAGCGACGCACTGTGGAGAAATCGCGCGAGATGCGACGCAAATATTTGTGAGCAGCGTGCGGCGAGTCGATAACCATTTCGAATTCGAATGCACACGCGGAAAATGGATGTGAATATTTTCGGATTGAGTTTTCCTTTTAATTGGTGTTGTTGTTTCTGTTGTTGTTTTGCTCTTGCGTTTTCACTAATTCGCGCTAATTACGCCGCGTTGCATTTTTTGCATTCTTTATTTTGGCTGTTTGTGCGCTCGCACGCGAATCTCAACTGAAACGCACCTGCGATGCTGCTAACGGGAACAGCCAGATGATAGAGCAAGATGAGAGCGAAAGAGAGAGAGAGCTGTCAGCTCCTGATAAAACGCGAGTTATTTACAATGCAATAATTGGATGACAGCGAGAGAGGCTGGTAAACAGAGAAAGAGAGAGAGCGTGAAAGAGAGGGCGTGTGGTCGAGAGGGAGACAGGGCGTAGGAGCTAGCTCTGAGGTTTTTTTTGTTTGTTTGAGGCGTTTACGATTGAGCGCTCAAATTAGATAAGCCTTTCTCGTTACACAGCCAAAAATAGTCAAGCAACAAGTGCGAAAACTCATAACCAGTGGAAAGGCTTAATGCCCAGCTATTAGAGATGGCAGCGTGCTTACGTGAGTGGATTATGAAGCGTTTAAAGGTGTTTGTAAAGAAGTTTCTAAAGCTTTTATCAGACCTAAGATGTAAGTGCAAAATTTGTAGTATTTTGCATACAGAATAATAGAAACTATTAATGAATGACTTAATTATTCGTGCGTTGAAATTAAATAATTAATTAATTATAATCTAGCTGTGCTTCATTTCATTTCTTATTATTTTGAGCATTTATTTATTTTATATTATTTATATTATCTATCAATATGTTTAGTTAATAATTTCTGAAGCTTTTATTAATATTTGAGATTTATCTTTTATATTTTTAAATAAACATTTATTTACAAGTTGATTTAAAATTTTGCTTGGTTACTATAATTATTTAATTTTCTGAAATTTTAAGCCTAAATTTACATATTTTGTATCGCATTTTTAAGGTATTTTCTAAATATTTATATATTGTATATATTTTTAAAAATTTGGCTAGTTATTTAACTCGTGTTTTTCATTGGCAAATCTAATCAGTTGGATGTTAAATTCATTTCTCATTTCCTTGCCACCACACGAGCTCATCTCTAGCCGCTCACGCTTTTACGCTCTGACATTTTGGCGCTGTGTAACTGCGATGCATTCGACTGCAACAAATCAATTTGGCTTCTGAAAGTGTGTGAGTGCTTTTGCTGTGTTTGTGTATATGTGTGTGTGTGTGTGTTGGCCAGGAAGTATGCAGTTAATGCCATTACGTAGAACAGCATCAAACTTGAATTTAAATTTCTATTTTTAGTCAACTTCACTACGAAGCCGTCTGAGAACAGAAACGAGTTAAGCTTAGTTGGGTAGAGGAGCTCTGATGGCCAAACCAAAATGCATTTAATTAAAATGAAATTATGTTGCCTTTAGTGTCACTTGAGCATTTTCTGTCGGGCATAATTGATAAGGCACAGTGTGAGCCGGGCTCCAATCAAAGGGAGCAATTAATTAGGCAAATTCGACCGAATATTGTCCAATTGCAATTTAATAGGGCGTAAATTAATTAAGTTTGTGGCCAAGCTCAAATGAGCCTAATTAAATGCACTTTAAATTCATTTGCACTTCTAATAGACGATAGCACCAGAATGAGAATTTCATTTGATACCTCAAATTATAATTAACTTGTAAAAGTTATATAAATAATTTCAATTTAGTTCTTCAATTGAGAATTTAATGAATTTACTTTGTACTTAATAGCTAGTTAGAGCTTTTAAATTACTTAAACTATATTTAAATCTAATAAAACTTCCAACTACTCACATTATATTAATTAAATTCTATGAGTATTTTAATAATAAAACTTAAAATAAGCAAAAATAGATATAAACTATATAAGGAATTGTAAAAAAAAAAACTTATATAAACTAAGTTTACAATACCTAGAAGAAGAAGAAGAACACAACATCAACTACATATACAAAGATATATATATATATATATATGTATATAGAGCAAACATAAATACAAATCAAAACCAATTTGTACAAACTGAACAGACAACAGATTTGTGATTGATTGATGCGAGAAGGTACAGTGAAACATAGGCATATGTGGACAATTATAATAACAAACAAACAAACAACAGCAAAGTGTTTAAAAATATAAAAAACGAAAAAGAAATTGAAATTGAAAATCAAGATTGAAATTGAAATTGATATGTTTGATATAGCTTACCCTGGGCACAGTTATATTTATCAGACCCCAACAGATTTTTTTCAGTCCCCATGGTATCTTTAATATGTGCGTGTGTTTGTTTTTTTTTTTTTTTTATTGATGGGACATATATACAGCAATATATATTTTTATTGTTGTATACGCAAACAAAATATTGACATATATATTTTTTTGATTGATTGATGCGTGATTGACAGGTCATATTTGTTGTTGACGTTATTGTTGTTGTTGTTGTTGTTGCAAGGTGCATGACACACACACACAACAAGTTTTTCGAATAGTGTTATTTCGTGGTGAAGTAAAAAAAATATGTGAAAAAATATATATTCATAAATAATTAATATAAAGAAATATTTTCAATATTTTTCGTGTGTGTTAAAAATTTGAAGAGAAACTCGAAAGGAAATGTACAAAATTTTTAATTGAAGCAAAGTGTATATAGAGTAGTTGTATTTCAGTGTTAAAGCAAAGAAGAGAAACATTATTGAACATGAATTAGTTGAGAGTTCTGTCAACGATATATATATACATATATAGAAATTGCTCTATTAGTATTATTATTATTATTATTAATATTATTATGGTTCTGATTTTACTTCAGGGGCAACGCATTTTG